GACATGCATCACAAGGAGGACAAGATAGTGATGACGAAACAGGAAGAGAGTACGAACGAAGAAGACTGGTGAGGGAAGGCTGGGCAGGATGACCAAGACGAGCATGCCATGAAGCGGCAGAGGTGCGAGTAGTGACCAACGCCATGCGAACTGTGTCCACCTCCCGAGGTAACTCATAGACATCACCGTTGTTTTCCCCCCTCAGAAGATGCGCCCCCGTGCGTAGATCCTTCACAAGAAAATGAGTGGCAAAAAATTCCACAGAGACAGGATTAGTTTGACAAAGTTTAGCCACCGACACTAGGTGTTTTTTGATGCTTGGCACACATAAAACATCATTCAAACATAATGAGGAAGACCCAAAAGAGATAGTGGAAGAACCAATGTGGGTAATAGCCAAACCTGAACCATCCCCAACCATAATCTCATCGGGGCCGGTATAATCGGAGTAGAGAGACAGTTGGCCCAAGTCTGGTGTAACATGATTGGAAGCTGCAGTGTCCATTAACCAAGGCCCAGCAGAAGAAGAAGAGCCCATCTGAGGAGGGCCCATGTGAGTGGCATGAGCCTGCCCTTGGCGGGCCTGGTGAAAGGCTTGACGGTGGAAACAATTTGAAGCACTGGCGGACCGAGTGCCCGGCCCGCTCACAGTACTGGCAGATAACGGCGGGCTTGCGAGGGCTGTTGGGCCCAGAATGAGAATGCTGCCCCAAAGCTGACTGAAGGCCCAGAGTTGAGGAAGGCCCGGTCTCAATGGAAAAACCCTGCTGAGGGCGCTGGGAAGAACGAGGGGAATTAGAACCCCCGCTGCCAGAGAAAGACCCGCCGCCGTTGGGAGAGGCAGAGAACGATCCACCGCCGCTGTGAAATGGCCCGCCGCTGTGAGAGGGTCGCCGAGAGGACCCTTGTGTGTAGAACGCAGTGGGAACAGCGGCCACGCGAGCCTGTTCCTGCAAATCTGCTTCATACTCAACGAGAGAGTCAAACAGGTCTTCAATGGACACGGTAGTACCCCTTGCGCGAACTGCGGCAGAGAAGTGAGTGTAGTCTTTGCCAAGACCACGAAGACAATGCACCACCAGGTCGAGATCAGAGACAGGGGCGCCGACCAGGGCCAGCTCAGCAGCTGTTTGCTTCAATTCATTGACAAAGGTAAGAACATCATTGGTTCCCTTAACTGTGCGAGCCAATTTCCCTTTGAGATTAATGATGCGCGAACCAGAACGCCCAGCATACAGTTTTTCGAGGATCAACCAGGCCTCACGCGAGGTAGCAGCATTCGAGACAAACGAATAAAGAGATTCAGAGATTGAGCAACGAAGGGCGTGTAAGATGAGCTTATCTTGAAGAAACCAACGTCGATACGAAGGATTGGGACTGGTGACGCCATCGACGGTGACAGTGGAAACAGGGGCAGTGCCGGTGCCGTCGACGAAGCCGATCAGGTCGAGACCCATGAGCAGCGTTTCTAATTGCGACCGCCATGAATTGAAATTGGTAGAGGTCAATTTGAGAGGCAATTGAGCAGCCGGATTAAAAGTTATGATTGAATCTTCGGCCGGAGAGGAGCTATCGGAAATGGTTGAGCCAGACATAATACCGAGCAGAAAACAGGGGAGAAAAAAAAACAGAGGGTCTGCTACTTCAGAGACCGTGAGAGTAAAGGAAGAAAAGAGGATCAGATCTGGATCACAAGTTGAACGTAACTTGCTCTGATACCATGAAAGAGTTTGAAGGATTTGATTTGTGAGAAAGATTCTTAGTTGTTTCTCATTGATGTTTCTGTTCACTGATATATAGATTTTTGGGAGAGAAAATAGGTGCACGCAGGCACTACCCACAAATGTAGAAACCGTAAATGGTAGTGGGAGAATAAATAAAAGAATAATGGAAAATACAAAAACCAGAAATCAGTTAGCTCTAATATCATCTATGTCAATTTTGGAAGCATCATAATGGCGTCGAGAGAGCATCTAATCGAATTCGGGATGGGTTTCGTAAACAGCGGACTGAAGTTTCCTTTGGATCATCCGGCCAGACCTGGTTGCCGGAGAATCGGCGGCGTTTCCGCCAGAGTTCCAGGAGAAGGCCGGCGAGATCGGGTTTATTTCATGGTTGGTGCTGCATGAGGAAGTTTTGAACCATCCGTCGGTTGGGTTTTTTTTTTTTTTTTTGACGCACTGCGGGTGGGGGATCGATGTTGGAGAGATTGACAGCGGGAGTTCCAGTAATGTGCTGGCCTTTCTTCGGCGATCTACCAGGTTTGCCTGTACGGACTGGGGGATTGGAATGGAGGTCGAGAAGGATGCGAAGAGGGCGGCAGTGGAGAAGCTCATTAGGGAGTTGGTAAATAATATTTTTTATTTTATTTTATTTATTTTATGGTAAAAATGAGTTAGACATTAAAATAGATTAAATTTTATTTTATTTATTATTTCTTAATTGTCACGTCACTAAGTTAACGGTCAACTTTGAGAGTTGACTGCTACATCAGCCAAAGTTAACGGAGTTGGACGGAGAGTGACCAAACGTGAACGGTTTCAGTAAACCGAAGTACCACCAATGACTTTAAATATTTCGAGTGACCAAACTTGAACGTTTTTTGTAATCTCAGTGACCAACCATGCAATTAACCTGTATTATCTTGAACCATAATATAGGACTTTGGTTGATACTTTCGCAAGACTCCAATGGTTTCTTTCCCTATTTACAGAACTTTCAGCACAACCTCCAAGACAATACTAAATAACTAACAAGCTCATCTGCTCGTAACATACAATATTTTTTAGACGGATCAATTCAAAACTGAATTTTTTTATCTCTGGATACTCTTTCACTGATCGAGTTTTCATACCAGGTGCTCCCGTGTTCTTTTTTCACAAACATTAATCTTGGACACTTCCAACGCATTTGATGTATTTGAAATCAATCGAGTTCTAATTGTTAATCGAAACAGATAAACGAAATACATCGAAACGAAAACGAGACAAAGTTTACGTTGTTTCCTTGTTCGTTATGAACAAGACTAGTCCACGGGGAAAATCGGCCATCCTTTTAATTCAGATACTCAATATGATTACACGTACATACATACATATACATACATATATATCAATTACATAATCCTAAGTTCCTAACCCTAGCTCGTATACCTCTGGGGAGAAAGAAAATTAGCTAGCTAACTACACGTGGGCCATATGGCCTACATGGGCCAAAGCCCAAGACGAGGCGCACCATAACTCAACACTCATATTCACCTAGCTTATGTAATCTCAGTTTTGTGGTTAGAAGGTATATAAACAAATTGAGTACTAGAGAAACCAGTCTCATGTGTCTTTTTCAATTATATGACATATATACATAATCACATGACAGGATGTAAAATAAACAACATACACCTTTGTTAAAAAGACACAATTATTTCTTGCATCTCTTAATCATAATGGTATTGGACTATACTAATCATATTTCTTGCTTTTGGAAAAGTGCATAATTAATAAAGGAAAAAGGAGAGGCTCGATTGTTTACTGGATTTGGGGCCGGATACTATGACTACCCCAAAAGAGGTTGGGTTTTTGATACCCCCTCCTGCAACTATCCACGTGTCCTTCATCTTTGGGTAAGTACTAATGATTATTGCTTTATTGGGAAGTTGTCATTATTATTGCTTTATTGGGAAAATTCTCATAATAATGATGCATGGGAAAGTTCCCATAATAATGATACACGGGAAAACAACAATATTTCATCTCCCCTTCTCTTCCTTTCAAATTTCTTTCCACCAGAACCCTCTCCCGGCGTCTTCTCAGTCCAGCAAACCCTCCCTCCGGCGGTCCACCCTCCGTCGGCCAACTTCCATCAGCGGCCCAACTTATCGTTGCCTCCCTTTCCGCCGACCCTCTCCCGTCCCTCCGTTCCCCTTAAGTCTCCTCTCCTGCGACATCGACTTCATCACTTCACACGGCCGGAAATCATCAAGATGATCTGAACGATTTCGTCTCTAACGTCGAGCATATGGAAGACGGCGGCAGAGGAAACGCACCAGTGGACTGGTACGTGTACCAGTGGATTGGTACGTGTACATCGACTTCATCACTTCACGTAGCCCGAAATCATTAACGTCGAGCATATGGAAGATAGTGGCGCTGCCGTGAAAGTGGAGCCAATTAGAGACGCCGAGGAACACCAAAACAATCTCAGTAAGGATCTGTATTCATGTCTCGTCGACTTCTCCCGCCCGACAATGTACCAGTGCACTAGTATTTTGTATCATTGAAGTGTACAATGCCACTGCAATGGTATTTTTCCCCTGAAAAGGTCCAGACGGACACCACTGGTTATTGAAGCTGCGTAAACAACCTAGTTGCTTTGCATTAGGTGTTGTCAATACGGTCATAAACTAGTATATTTGTTTGAATGAACATGTATCAGTGACATGACAAGAGTAACAGTGCTTACCCTTAATGTTGTGGTTTTATGTACTAGTCTAGTGATACATTGTTCCGAGACCAATATTGAAGTTTGTAAACTTGTTTTAAAATTGTTGAGGGACAAATTTCTAGATGAAATATCGATGTTCAAACGTTACCATTGCAGCATTAGATATAATGTACTTGTACCATGAACTGATACATATACCACTGAACTGATACATGTACCACAAAGAGTATGGCATGAGGGAATTTACTGGTATTTGTATCATTGAAGTGGTACTGCATTGTTGCTCCGTTATTGTTTATCATTGTTATGAAAAATATCATTGCACTGGTATTGTTCTCACTCCAAATCGTATTTGCCACTTCTAATGTACCACTTCATTTGTATTTTGTATGGGAGAAATATACTACACGCCACTAAACTATAAGAATTGGGGGAAGGATACTACTAATGTGAAATAGAGCACCAAATACCATTAAAGTTTCCAAAATATGCATCCATTAAATTCTTCATCAATTTGATTAACCAAATGAATACAATATATTTTTCCACCTCAAGCCTCTTTAACTTTCGTTGAAATTCGACATTAAGAGTTGATGGACCATAAATATCTTCATTGTCATTGCTCCATTTTGCAAGCTCCCTAATCGCTCTCGCTTGTAGTCCAGAATGTGCTCTACTCCCTGCTCCGTGCGATTTGTCTTTCCTAGCATGCATCCGACGCCACTCCACAACTTCTCGAGGAACTCACTGCTCTGACTGAAATCAAAGAAGGTAAAATCAAAAGTCAAACCAATAAATATAACTACAGATAGATGAGATCAACAATAAGACTTTCACTGCAGATATATCAATCCATTGATAGCTCTATCCTAGAAAGCCATTCTAAACATAACTACTACGGTAGTTGTACTTTAAACAACCATAATGATTTTGTTTGTACCACTACAGTGATAACACTACCCACAAAAACATCACAACGAACTACCACTACAGCAATAGATCTACCATTGCAGCGATAGATCAACAACCGCAGTGATAGATCTACCACTAAAGTGATAGACACAGTATGCCACAAAAACATTCACATGGTTAACTATATCAATGTGGTGATAGACTGCAGTCAAATAAACAACACTACATTATCCAAGAATCAACTATCACTGGAGTGGTATACTTCCGTACCAGAATCAACAATTTATACCACTCCAGTGATAGACATACCAGTACACAGGTACTGATACCACAAGAAAAAATCCAGTTCTCGAAACTCAAAAACACATATCTGGGTGATGAAAAGACCATTGCACTAGTACTAATACCACACGAAAAACCCATATATATGAGTTTGGGAGAGAGTGCTACCTCAGATTCTTTTTCGTCGTCTTCGCCGGAAAGGAGAGGAGGGCCAACGCCGGAAGGGTAGGAGGGTCTTCGTCTTCGCCGGAAAGGTGAGGAGGGTCATCATCTTCCCTGTCGATCCCTTTGCGTCGACGATCGAAAAGATAGACCTGTGGCGTGAAGTCGGAGGATGGCCGACGGATGGGATGGGCCGCCGATGGTCGTTGAGGAATCGTAACGGAGGCCGGAAGGGTGATGATTCCGTCGTGGGGAGAGGTTACGTCGGGGGAGGGTTTCCATAGATAGGTTATTGAAAGGGAGATAGGAGGAGACGAGAGGGAGTGATAAAAGGGTGAGGGTTAATTGATTTTGTATTGACCTTGGGAACCATTTTTTCCTCGATACCCGATTTCTTTCCTTTTCAATGTAGGTTATAGAGCAATAATTACGTGATTACTACTCAATAAATAGATGTTTAATCCTAACCATTCGTCTAACACTAATAAAAATGGATGGCATCCAAGTGGAGTGTCAAAAATCAAACCCCTTATGGGGTTAGTCATGCTAACCGCTCCCCTGGATTTGTATTTCTTAATTAATCACATTCATGAATAAAGGCTGGCTGGCTGGAGTTGGCTACTAATGCATTCCATGATATTCCGTGCGATCACCAGCTTGCAACCCCTTCGTATCCACGAATTTCTCTCCTTTATTGCTTCTCTCAATGGTAATGGAAGGAAATAGCAATATGGCACGATGATGACGATGATGATCAGACACACAAAATATTTATAAAGACGAGCACTTCTACTATGGTATATGTCAGAACAGAAGCGTGGCAATCGATAATCCAAACCAACACGAATGAACACAAATTTAACGTGGTTCACTAACACAATGTGTGCTAGCTAATCCACGGGCGGCCGGGGGGGGGGGGGGGGACAAATTTCACTAATTTGAGGAGAGTACATGTTACAAACCAAATTCCAAACGGACAAACCAAACAAAATAACCCTGACTGACCCCTACTACAGACTAGGGTGATGAAGAGTATTTATAGAACTCTTCTCCTAATCCCAAACAGAAAACCAAACACTTTTCCCCATACATACAAAGAAAAGGTCAAAACAAAACCCAATCCCAAACCCAAACAGAATAGGCCTAAAACACAAAACAAACCCAAATCAAATTCAAGTCATATTCTAACAATCTCCACCTTTACTTGAATTCTCTCTCAAATACCAGATGTACCAGACGCAACCAAGGTTGCCAGATGTACCCAGACGCGATCCATATCGCCAAACTCAAACGCGATGCAAATCGCCAAACTCATACGCAATCAGAAAATTGCAAACGTAGTAACTCCTCCAAATCAGCTGTACCAGAATCTCCCCTGCCTCCAAAAGCCCCTAAGGGAAGTCAACAACTCAAACCATTTGGCAAGTCCAACCCATGCTCATACTTGCCATTCAAAACTAGCTTGGTGCACTTATCAACAACAGAACATGTCAAAACAGAACCTTGTAGTTTATATAAGGCACCACGCTTGACACCTTTCAAAATCACCTTAGAACCCTTGTAGACAGACAACACTCCACCTTCACCTTTGAAGCTAAAACCCTTGCTGTCGAGTAGACTCAAAGATATCAGATTCTTAGTCATTTCTGGAATATGCCTAACATTGTTCAAGGTGCGAACAGAACCATCATGCGTCCTCATCCTGACGAAGCCTCTTCCAACAATCTTACAGATAGCACCATTAGCCATAGAAACATGTCCTCCATCTATCTGCTCATAAGTTGAAAAACACTCCCTGCTTGGACACATATGATAATCAGCTGCAGTATCTAAATACCACACATCCTGATGATGTACCTACTCATTCACTGCTAAGGCTAAACCATCTTCAGAATCAGAGTTAGTTTCTTCTGCCACAGCAGCAGATGATTCCTTCTTCTCACGATATTTTTTTAGTTTAGGACAACCAAATTTCCAATTTCCTTTCTCCTTGCAGTAATGACAGATATCATCCTTCAAACCAGCAGAATTCGAATTTGTATTCGCCTTCCTATTACCAGATTGTTGTCTTCTACTACTAGTAGCAGCCAACCCAGATGCCTGATTTTCTGAACCTGAACCAGATGCCTTATGTCGAACCTCTCTAGTATGTAAAGCAGATCTGACATCTTCCAAAGACAAACTATCTTTCCCAGCAATAAAAGAATCCACAAAATTCTCATATGACTGTGGCAAAGATACTAACAGAATTAAGGCAGCATCCTCATCATCTATTTTAACATCAATATTCCGCAGATCTAGCAAGATGGTATTGAGTTGATCTAGATGATTCCTGAGAGACATACCTTCCTCCATACGCAAACTGAACAAACGTTGCTTCATATGCAACTTGTTAGTTAAAGACTTTGTCATGTATAAACTTTCAAGCTTCAACCACAAGCCCGCGGCAGTCTTCTCATTAGCAACCTCAGTGATGATGTCATCAGCCAAACAAAGCAAGATTGTAGAGTGAGCTTTCTCCTCCAAAGTAATCCACTCTTCTTCATCTATGCTTTTCTTCTTTGATTTTTTAGACAATGGAGCCCACAAACTCTATTGTTTCAACAGTGCTTGCATCTTGATCTGCCACAAACTGAAACTGTTTCTTCCTGTAAACTTCTCAATCTTCATACTGATAGCAGCCATTCTTACTATCAAACAAACTCCAACCAAACTCCACAAAGCAAAACTTCAGTCCAGCGCCAAATTCCCAAAACCGTAACCAAAGGCTCTGATACTACTTGTCAGAACAGAAGCGTGGCAATCGATAATCCAAACCAACACGAACGAACACAAATTTAACGTGGTTCACTAACACAATGTGTGCTAGCTAATCCACGGGCAGAGGGGACAAATTTCACTAATTTGAGGAGAGTACATGTTACAAACCAAATTCCAAACGGACAAACCAAACAAACTAACCCTGACTGACCCCTACTACAGACTAGGGTGATGAAGAGTATTTATAGAACTCTTCTCCTAATCCCAAACAGAAAACCAAAAACTTTTTCCCATACATACAAAGAAAAGGTCAAAACAAAACCCAATCCCAAACCCAAACAGAATAGGCCTAAAACACAAAACAAACCCAAATCAAATTCAAGCCATATTCTAACACTATATAGCATTGGTGCTTAAATGTACAACTCAAAGTTGTACCATAACATTAAATGTATAAGTTTAGGTTGTACCATAAAGCAATCTGTACCATTATGTTATGGTACAACTTTACAACTTGAAGTTGTACCATCACATAAAGGTACAAGTTCAAGTTGTACCATAAAAGTATAGGTACAATCTGAAGTTGTACCATAACGTAAATATACAATTTTAAGTTGTACCATAAAGGCAAAATCCTATAGTACCAATACTATATAGCATTGTAAAATTTCTCTATAAAGACATTCGACTTTCGATCTTGCTACAAAAGTATTTACAAAAGGTGTAAACCTTGCTATATAATGAGGTATATAAATATTATATTTTAAGTGTCATCATATTATGTCACTCCTTACTCAAAATTATACAACTCACTAAATATTCATGAAGACACGTGACTTTCGATATTATGTCACTCCTTACTCAAAATTATACAACTCACTAAATAATCATGAAGACACGTGACTTTCGATTTTAAGTAGTGGGTAACTGGCAACTTACAAAGTCAACTAGATGTAAGAAAATGGTGATCACTTTAGTGAGGACACTGCCCTCGTATTATTACAATGCAGACAAGTAAATTTAGGACAAAATGGTTGTGAATGAAGATACTCTGAAAAGAGAAACAATGTGGATCATTGTTTGAACTTTATTCTTTCTTAACGGTTCGAGTTCATTTCTTTCTTTTATCTATACTTCTCGAAATTGCTTTTCTCCTTTATTTTCTATTTATTGTGCAGGAGTAACAATCACTGTTTTATCAAGTCCATGCGGATGGTCAATATATACATAGTGTCGAAAAATGTATATGTGGCTTTTATACACATTCTCAAACAACCGATCCTTAGGGATAAGTGATAACCTAATCATAAGGTCATCCCGATATAGGACGACCACCATCCATTACTCAATATGTTCCTTATGTGATTGAACCAAGTGCAATGTCGGTTGCCTCAACATTTGAGACTTTTTTCCAAATTACCCCACACTTTATTTCATTCAAACATCACGTTAATTTTATTTGAGCTATCAAGAAAGTTTTTAGCCGGCTCCGGGTACTATAACAACACTAGAAGTAGTGTTATAATAAAAACAAGGGTAAAAGGGTCCATTAACCCAATAAATAATAAAATTAAAAATTGAAATAATTATCCCTACGCGTCTTCCCATTTCCCACCGCCACAAACAATTTCAGATTGTTTTCTCCCCATCCTTTCTTCGTCCTTTCGCCCTGCAATCGTCCCTGTTTCAGTCAAGTAGGAGGTGGATGCTGCACTCCGGCGTCGAGACGAAATCATCGTCGAGATGGCGACCGCCGATGACAAGCCTTCGGATTGAACAGGGAAGGAAGAGAACATGGAGAGGGAGGACATCAAGATGCTAGTGAAGAGGCAGAGGGATTGTGCTTTGGCGAGGAGGGGGTCGATCTAGTCGGGGAGTGCTCCGTATTTGTCGCCCAGCTGGCACCTCGCGCCGCCGTTCTCCGGCGGCTTGATACTGATGAGAAATTTAGAATTCGGGTGGAGCCGGCTCATCTTCTCGAGCTCGTCGGCAGAATCGAAGGTCGTGAGGTTGACTCCCTTTGCGGCGGCGTAGGCGATGTGCGATTCGGGCTTGCAAGGGTTGGCCATCCTCAGACTACTGCTCTGCTTTCCAGCCAAATCCTGCCAAAGCCTCAACCACTATACGACGTCTGTACGAGAACTTGTTGTCCGATTCGATATCGAGCGATGGAGGACTGGCGGTAGATCTGGAATTGTCTATGCAGTGCGAACCCCTCATGAATGGCGGCGGCTACTATCGAGCGAAGGAGGACTGGTGGTAGATCTGGAATCCGAAAGCTCCATGACCATCGCCGGTAGTGTTTTGACTGTCGCCAACTTGAAACCATCATCGTCGTGTTCGTTTGCAGGGAAGAGTGAGACGATAGATGGGGACAGAGGAAGTCTGGGGAAGAAGGAAGAAGTTGAACCAATAAAGGAAAGGGGTGATTACGGATTTAAATCCTGCAGAATAAGGAAATGTGTTAAAATCCCCCATTTAAATCCCCCCTCCCTAGTATATATTAGTCGACCCACCATGTCTAGGAAACTAAATGCCAATGAGGTGTATCTAGAAAGTGAAAGAAGAGATGGATAGGATGGTTTAGAGATATGGCTCATTTTCGTACACTTGATTGTGAGGAAAACATTAGTTGGCACTAGGGTTTGGTGTTAGCAAGGTTGTCAACTTGTGGGTTGACTTGGACCCGGTCAATTTAGTGGGTCAAGAGTTAACGGGTCACCCGTTTTAGTTTGGAAATATGGAAAGCAACACAAAGCAAACCACAAACATTTCTAAAGCAAACCAGAAACACAATAAAGCAAACCTGAAACCTCCTAATGCATACCACAAATCTCCTAAAACAAACGACAAAAATCACAAAGCAAACCACAACATTTACGAAAGCACACCAGAAACCATGCAAACCAGAAACCTCCTAATGCATACCACAAATCTCATAAAACAAACCACAAACCTCACAAAGCAAACCACAACATTTGTGAAAGCACACCAGAAACTTCCTAATGCATACCACAAATCTCCTAAAACAAACCACAAACCTCACAAAGCAAACCACAACATTTGCAAAAGCACACCAGAAACCTCCTAATGCAAACCACAAACACAGTAAATCAAACCACAAAAAAGCAAACCATAAACGTCCTAATGCAAACCACAAATATATTAAAACAAACCAAAAACCTCACAATGCAAACCACAAAGTTTTTGAAAGCAAACCAGAAACTTCTCAATGCAAACCACAAACACGATAAAGCAAACCAGAAACTTCTCAATGCAAACCACAAACACGATAAATCAAACGACAAAAGGCATACGAAAATATGAGAAACCAAACCATAAATCTCACAATGTAGACCATACATCTGGTGGTCGTTGACCTTGACCGGTCAACGATGTTCGTTGACCGAACTCCGGTGACCGTCAGTCAGCAGATTCCGACGCCGATAAGCATATTCCGGCCCCGATGACTAGATTCCGATGCCGGTAAGCATATTCCGACAACGGTGAGCATATTCTGGCGACGGTGGCATATTCCGATGACAAAATACCATATTCCGGCGACAAAAAGCATATTTCGGTGACCGGCGACCATTTTTCGACGACCGGTGGCAGAATTCCGGCAACCAAAATTTTAGGCCGGAAATAAAAAAATATTTTTATTTTTTTTATTTAAACATATTTTTCATAATGACAATTATAACCCTGCTTTGATTTTACACTAGGTCAACTCATCTAATAAAAAGTCATCACAACCCTAGCTTCCTATTGGTTGGAGACTAGTGTTGTTACACAGTTACAATAACAACACAAGTAGTGTTGTCATAGTAACCGGTGTTTTGGGCAGGTTCGCCCCGCGCGGCCTACATGGGTACCTCTCATCGACCCGACCTGTTCTGACCCGTCCCATTCTCGACCCGTTCTTGCTTAAATTACTTGTAATCTTAGTCAAATTACTTAGTATTTTTCTTCTATTACCTCATATTTTAGCTATAATGATGTTGTAAATAAGTGAAAAACTCAATTTCTCTAATAATTTAACTATATTTTATTATATTATGATTCGTTTATTGGTCTTTTAATGAAATTAATGAATATTTCTAATGTTTTTCATATAAATTACATACCCACTGGGTCGACTTGCCCTGACCCGCGCCCCATAATAAATTACCCGACCTATTACTGGACGGGTATGAGTATTGAGATACCCGCCTAGACCTGCCCCATTGCCACTCCCGATATCATATTGAGCATGCATAAACTTATACGTGTTCAACATAGTATAAAAAATGATTCACCCTTGAAATAAAAAAAATATTCTTATTTTTTTTATTTAAACATATTTTTCATAATGACAATTATAACCCTGCTTTGATTTTACACTAGGTCAACTCATATAATAAAAAGTCATCACAACCCTAGCTTCCTATTGGTTGGAGACTAGTGTTGTTACACAGTTACAATAACAACACAAGTAGTGTTGTCATAGTAACCGGTGTTTTGGGCAGGTTCGCCCCGCGCTGCCTACATGGGTACCTCTCATCGACCCGACCTATTCTGACCCGTCCCATTCTCGACCCGTTCTTGCTTAAATTACATGTAATCTTAGTCAAATTACTTAGTATTTTTCTTCTATTACCTCATATTTTAGCTATAATGATGTTGTAAATAAGTGAAAAACTCAATTTCTCTAATAATTTAACTATATTTTATTATATTATGATTCGTTTATTGGTCTTTTAATGAAATTAATGAATATTTCTAATGTTTTTCATATAAATTACATACCCACTGGGTCGACTTGCCCTGACCCGTGCCCCATAATAAATTACCCGACCTATTACGGGACGGGTATGAGTATTGAGATACCCGCCTAGACCTGCCCCATTGCCACTCCCTAAATCATATTGAGCATGCATAAACTTATACGTGTTCAACATAGTATAAAAAATGATTCACCCTTGAAATAAAAAAATATTTTTATTTTTTTATTTAAACATATTTTTCATAATGACAATTATAACCCTGCTTTGATTTTACACTAGGTCAACTCATATAATAAAAAGTCATCACAACCCTAGCTTCTTATTGGTTGGAGACTAGTGTTGTTACACAGTTACAATAACAGCACAAGAGTGTTGTCATAGTAACCGGTGTTTTGGGCAGGTTCGCCCCGCGCTGCCTACATGGGTACCTCTCATCGACCCGACCTGTTCTGACCCGTCCCATTCTCGACCTGTTCTTGCTTAAATTACATGTAATCTTAGTCAAATTACTTAGTATTTTTCTTCTATTACCTCATATTTTAGCTATAATGATGTTGTAAATAAGTGAAAAACTCAATTTCTCTAATAATTTAACTATATTTTATTATATTATGATTCGTTTATTGGTCTTTTAATGAAATTAATGAATATTTCTAATGTTTTTCATATAAATTACATACCCACTGGGTCGACTTGCCCTGACCCGCGCCCCATAATAAATTACCCGACCTATTACGGGACGGGTATGAGTATTGAGATACCCGCCTAGACCTGCCCCATTGCCACTCCCTAAATCATATTGAGCATGCATAAACTTATACGTGTTCAACATAGTATTAAAAATGATTCACCCTTGAAATAAAAAAATATTTTTATTTTGTTTTTATTTAAACATATTTTTCATAATGACAATTATAACCCTGCTTTGATTTTACACTAGGTCAACTCATCTAATAAAAAGTCATCACAACCCTAGCTTCCTATTGGTTGGAGACTAGTGTTGTTACACAGTTACAATAACAACACAAGTAGTGTTGTCATAGTAACCGGTGTTTTGGGCAGGTTCGCCCCGCGCTGCCTACATGGGTACCTCTCATCGACCCGACCTGTTCTGACCCGTCCCATTCTCGACCCGTTCTTGCTTAAATTACATGTAATCTTAGTCATATTACTTAGTATTTTTCTTCTATTACCTCATATTTTAGCTATAATGATGTTGTAAATAAGTGAAAAACCCAATTTCTCTAATAATTTAACTATATTTTATTATATTATGATTTGTTTATTGGTCTTTTAATGAAATTAATGAATATTTCTAATGTTTTTCATATAAATTACATACCCACTGGGTCGACTTGCCCTGACCCGCGTCCCATAATAAATTACCCGACCTATCACGGGACGGGTATGAGTATTGAGATAGCCGCCTAGACCTGCCCCATTGCCACTCCCTAAATCATATTGAGCATGCATAAACTTATACGTGTTCAACATAGTATAAAAAATGATTCACCCTTGAATTTTAAATCGAGCGATTAAGGTAAAGATATAGCATATGAAATCATACTACTAAACTTCACCTCATACTTTAAATTGGACAATGTTATAATTGGACCAAACAAAAAGTACGGTGACGAATAATCTCATAGTCGAAATACCATAATATATAATCAAGTACACATGTGTGGCTAACGTTGATTGTTTAGGACAAACCGAGCAAAACTTGACATTACTCTTTTTCAGTTCAATACACATAACTCAAGTGTGATGCTCAAGAGTAGTCCTACTCATCCAAACATATTTAGAGAGGAAAAATAAAGTATCGATTTCATCCAACACAAATAGAAGCTAAGAGCCTCAATTTGGACAAACAAATACAAGCATGATTCAACTCTTCCTAATCCAATTTCATTCTAGCATCAATAGATTCAAAGCATAATAGTAGTATCAAATGCATAATGGCTACCCCACAATTTAGAGATTGATTACCAATCTGTTTACCCACAAAAAATAAGCTTGTACCACATCGATTAACTATAAGAAATTTAATGAATTTGTAAAACCAGCTCAACATGAATAATTAACAGAGGTAGTAGGGCCTTGATGGGTTGGATTTTGGGCCTAAGTGTCCAAATCTCTTCTTCCCTATATGATGGCCGACCCGTCTCCTTTGCCCCATAGCCGGACATTGCCTCCACCCAATGCAGTTAAAAGTGCGATTCTACCTAGAAGCGGAAAATTGGTAAAATCGTAAAACGTAGAATCAATGCGTAAAATCGTAAGTTTTTGACACACCCTCTAAAATAGCTAAAATAGATTAAGTACAACATATAGTATGTAAAATGTGAGTGTGTAGATTTTAGATAAGTGGATAACTACATGAAATTCATAATTAAAATGTAATATCTAACACATAAACTAATTTGCGTTGACTCAAAAGTAGAGAAAACTCATTGCATCTAATAATAAGCTCATAAACGTAAATCGTAACCCATAAACGAGCTCGAGAATCCGAATTCTCATAAGCTGGTTTGAGTTTACATAATTACATACCATCAATTACCCATAAAGTTTCATCGTAACCCAGGAAAGAGCCACAGGTGAAGATTAAGGGAGAAGACTGATAAAAAGTCAGCGGCTGTTGAGAATACCTTTA